GTTTTCTTGCATGCGTTGGGTGTACTCAACTAGTAAGAACTGCACATTTTTAAACAAAGACTAAGGACTCATACTACCTAGGCTGAGCCTTCTGAAGACACCTGGCCAGCCTCTAGGCTTGAAATCAGTCAAAGAATGCTGACTGAGAGCAGCTGAGAAGTTGGTTTATCTTTTAGTGGATTTGTACTTTTCCTTGTGTCAATGGTCCATGTCATGGTCCATATATGACAGTGATTATACTGTAAGGGCTAATTTTTGCCTTATTAGAATGCTGACAGACCTTTGGCATTTCTCCCTGCTCCTTCTTCTGTTTCAAGGTCAGTAACACCTATTATAGGACTTTGGATCAATTCCTGGTAGGTGAGCCATATTTACAGTAAATAACATAAGTATGGTGCACAAATATGGTTCCAATATATACAACTTAAAATCTCCTTATAATTAAAATTAAATAATATAGCATCATACAGCAAGGCTCTATCAATGCATTCACTTATTCATGTGGTTGCCACTGTTTTGAGATCATTTCTTGAGCATTTCAAAAGTGCATTAAAAAGCTGATAATATCATTTTATCTGAGAAACACATTACGATGTCACAGATTTATCCTCCTCCCTTCCCCTCTTATGATTAATGGGAACAATGTTGTCCCACTGTCAAATAGAAGTTCAGCAGCAAAGATCCTAATTCACCCACTTCTCATTGATGTTTCTCTTTGCAACCACTTCTAGTGGGAAAAAAAAAAACAATAAAACAATGCCTGAAATGGCAGATAATGAACAGGTAATACTTTAACTTGTACAGAAACTTCTGATTCTTAGGCGATCTGACTATCAGCACAGATGACAATTTACTTGAATGCTTTTGAGTCTCCCCTACATCCACAATTCAGTGAGACAGATTATTCCTGGACCTGTCCCCATTTGCTGCTGACCCAAGCTATGGTGCTGGAAGAAAGTCAGAGTAAACTGGAGGGAGGGCTGTTGATCTCTGCTGCAGCACAAAAAGGCAATGCCATCAAGGTAAAGATGGAACGTTTCTTCCTGCATTTTTAAAGAACATTTTATGACTACAAAAGAATCGAACAGAATGATTGTGTGACCTTAACGCAAAACTGAGATTCAGTCAGCATGTGAGTTTGATTCCCTGCAATTACCAAGGGTTTGCTGAACACTTCTAAAGGGAGAGGTGAAAGTTGGTGGTTCAGCCTGAACCTCTCTATTTCTGAATCGTTCTAGACCCTTCAGATCAGCTTTGGTACACACTTTCTCTGAAATCCAGGGATAAATTTAGGAGAAGAAAAACACAAAGATGAACAATGAAGGATATTCCACAATGAAGGCCAAAGCAGAGAACATGGAAATTCCTCATGCACTTATAGCCTCCCGAGAAGGATGCAAGGGCACTTCCCTTGTGTTATATTCCTAAGAAGTCTAGGAAATAAGGGTATATTGGGCACAACATCCACATCCTTTCCCTTGATTTTGAGCAGCTACTTTCCAATTAAGGTTGCTGGCAAAATCTGCACTGCCAGTACATAGTGGACATCAAAATGCAGCCATTACCTGGCACCTGAGCTGTGACCCAACACGTGTGCTTCAGCATGGTTCTTGAGATGGTGGTGGTGATGGTCGGCCTTTCTGACATGCATCCCTTTAAAATCCTGAGGAATTTAAGGAAATCCTTATCCTGATTTTAAAGATTTTAAGCATATAGTTCTCTGATGAGAATTAGCACTTTCAAAGATTGATAGAGCAACAGCAGGAAGAGTCCTTTCCAAGAGGACTAAAGCCCAGACTAAGATATCTCATGCACGGGTGAGACAGATGCTAGCAAAGACCCTTCTAGGCTGCCAAAGGAGGAGCTCTCTCCCAGCCAACCAGGCCACTCCTTCAAGATGTGGAGAGGACGTGGCCATGAAATTGACTTGTACTTTATAACTCAGAATATGAAGACTCAAATCTCTTCTTCCCTTCCTTGGCTCCTGATAAATGGGGAGAGAGGGAATATTTCCTGATGCACTGTGGAAGTGAAATTTATGGTCTGAAAAGAAAATATCAGTACCTGGAAAACCAGCATGAAGGGCTTCATTGTTATGCATGCACAGAGGATAAGATGATCTGGAAACTGTAGTTTCCTCATTTCAAAATAACAGTAACAATGTTTATTCTAAACGCACAGGTGAATGCTGTAACAGTACTTTGCATTTTCACTCACTGTGGCAGAAATGTATTGCAAACTTTAACAAGCTATTGGCTTGAGTCCCCATCAGCAAAACACCTGATGTTCTTGTTAACATTTATGAAAGAAAGTAGTAAACCCCACCGAATCCCTCCTCTCCCTGTCCCCGCAGTGTGGCTGCTGTTTGCCATTCCTGCAGACACTCTGCTGAGTGCCTTGATGCAGGTGAAGGTAGGACTCCCCAATCTCTCCAGCAGTGCAGATGGAAGGCAGGACTTTCAGCCCCACTCCTCCACTCAAAGGAGTGCTGCAAACTCTTTTCTATATGGAAGGAAACAAGCCCAACACTTCCCAACTCCACTTAGAGACACCAGGTCCACACTAATGACAGCCCTGCTTGCTGGTCACGTTCATTCTGAAAGTTTCAAATTTTCTGCAGCTCCACTCCCCAGCCACCACGGGCACACATGGGGCAGTCCTGCACAAACACCTATGGGGGAAAGCCAGAACCAAGTGGCATTTTCACACAATGCAGTCTGAATTGTTCATTCTCTGGAAAAGCCTGTCATACCTGGCACCAACGCAGCTGCCACTGTGGTCATGACAGATGTACTGCACTATTTACTGCATCCATAAAGTTGATTTTCTATAAGTGACTTTTTTTTTTTGTCACCCAAAATGGGTTAAAATGAGAAGGATTTCATAAATATGCTAAACTAACATATTTTAAGTCTGTTATCCAGAGACAGCTTTATTTGAATACATCCCCTTGACCAGTAAACATCTGTTTTTACAATAAGGACTGGAAGAACAATTTCATCATCTAGTCTAGCTTCCTCTACAGCACAAACCTTCTTCAGTCTGACATTCCTGTGTTTAACTAAAATTGTGTCTAATTAAAATACATCTCGTGGGAACAGTCCCAGTCTTGATTTGAAGACTTGAGGGATGCAGAATCTAACGCCGTCTGTCCTAATTTGAGCTAATATACAGCTTGCCTTGCCTACACAGAGAGCTTCAAAACATGTCACCTGAAGGGCTGGCAACAAATCCCAGAGTGTGAATCCCACCACACAAGAGAACAGGTGCATGGGCAATTTACCGAGTCCATCACTGGTTAAAAAACAAACAAGGAAAAAAGAAAAATTCCATTTCTCTAGTTGTCTCCAGAGTGGATAAGGATCACAGTACCTTGAATTTTGTCTCAATTCAGATTGTCTGTTTAAATGGAAACCCAACATGCTTTTGTCTAGCAGCTTTCCCTGCCCACTTAGCTTTGTTAGCTCTCAGGTGATATGTCTCCTTGCTGTCCTGCTCACCACACCACAAACATTTACCTAATGAACTGGTTCATTTTATAAAGCTGAAAGGAACCACCTGCCCATGAATAACCCACCACACTCTGCCAGTGTCAACAACAGGCATTTGCTCTGTGGGCAGCATTGCACATCCTACCTCAAGAAGAAAGAGAAGCTCATGGAGTCAGGGTCCTCAGACTGCTTGCTGCCAACACTGCATCAGTCACATGCTAGTTCAAGATATGCCTGGTTGTGCCAAAGCAGTTCACCCCAGTGGCCATATAGGAATGGTACTCTGATGGCAGGGAAGTGGTTCTCTGAGGTTCTGAACTTCTTGACTGTGCTATCACCTCCTCACATCTTGGTAAAACAGGTACAGCATCAAACACTTGGGAGCTTGATTAGTATTTCAGAAGTGCAGCAAGATGTACAGTTCTGAACGCATGCTAACAACGTCCCTGGGAGGAATGTACCAGCCTCTTCCCTAAGAGGGAGCTCAAGAAGTAGGGAGTGTGCAGCTGGAGGATGCCCTCAGCATGGGACAGCTGGCATTTCATTTGCTGCTGAGAGTTACCTGATGCTTCCTGGTTACATTACAGCATGGAGCTGAAGAGATTACCATGGATAAGTTCCCTCTTTCACTGAGCTTTGACAATATTTTACTGCAGGAGATCTAGCAATCCATCCTTCCATCGTCCTTGTTAGTGGTGAAACTTCAGCAATGTCACTGAGAAATATTTACAAACATGAAATACAGTATTCACTGTGGTGTGGGAGAAAAAAAAAATAGTCCATGGTACGGATCAAAATGATAAAACAGGAGAGCAGGTATGCATGAAAAGCACAGTCAATGTCTCATTTCAGGGACAGAACACTGACTTTCTGTACCAGTCACTCCAACATCATACAAAGGACTACCAGGTGCTTAGATACAAAGCCACTGCTGTCTGCCTAAATGTAGGCTAAAGCAATAAGTATTTTTCTTCTTCTGTCCCAAGGTCAACACAAATACTAGCAAATGTGAAGGCAACAGCTCACTATAATGGAGCTCACTAAGCCCAGCATCCCAGGCAGCTGAGCACCAACTTGTACACCAGAAGCTACCTCTGCTGCTCTCATCATCAGCTCCATCACAGAATTTCCATCCAGCACTCTCACTCCCAGTTCCTGTCTCTCTTGCCACTACACTTTTACATGACACAGTCGAACAGCTTCTCTGCCAAGCACATACTTGCCCTCCTAGTCAGAGCAGCAGCACAAACTGCGCAGTGGTCCCAAAGTGCCAGATCAGCAGATCAAGTAGGAGCCAAAGCTCCTGCAGAGGAGCTGTGGCCCTTAACTGCTGCCAGGCTCAGGGCAGATCCCTCTGTACGTGGCTCAGGCCATGCTGCCATACATCCAGGATCACGCACTACCACCAGGACATGTCCTCAGGGCCAGCCATCAGACTGGGTGACAGCAGCTCAGCAGTGAGAATGGGACCACAGGAGTTGGCAGTTCCTTGGACAGGGAGAAAGAAGCTTCATTTGACATTTATTTTACAGCTTTGTCCAGACAGGCACCAGACACCTCATGCAGACAGGTCCTACATCTGATGCTCAAATATCTTTATACTCTTGGCTCACCCAAGAGTGTCACACAGAAAGTTAATGTATTGAATGAATGTCACGGGTAGCCACTGTGGCTACTCCTGGAGGAATTTGGTCCAATACGACTAGGATAAACACTTCCTAAACCCCTTTTCTAACAGGTTAAAGTACTCCCACTGCAGTCTGAGACAATGTCGTGAGAGCCACGTGGGAGAATCCAACAGCTGGCACAACTACTGCAAGCTGAACAAAACACTAAAGGTGAACAAACTATCTAAATAACGAGGAAAAGTGCATTAGGTCAGTATAGTTCATTCTAACTAAGTGTAATTAGCAGGAGAAAAAAAGAAAAATTAGTTCACTGCTACTTTTTCACAGTGTCCTTTCAGGGACATTTCATTTTGCAGAAAAGTTTCAACCAGAATAAATATCCCAAATATAACCTTCAGTGCTCTTACCTACTTGTACAGGCAACTCAAATCACGTGTTGCTTGGGACTCTCATAAATGCGTATCTTAATCCCTCTTTAAGCTATGCATAGATAGAAATGTAAATCACACCCACAAAAATGGTCATTCTGGGCTACTTGGCTGTTTGGGGAGTTGCATGTTTTTAACCTTAAAAGATGCATCGGATAAAAATGTTTTAATGTACTCACTTGTCCTCCTGGCGATGTCTTAAGTTAATCACAGGGACTCAACTGTGAAAATACTTTTTCAATTGATGCTCTCGCTTAACACTTCTCCATTTCGCATGCAGAGGTTTGTTTGCACAAAGTACAGCTATTCCTATTTAAATTTTAAAATAACTATGAAATCTTTCTTTTGATATTAGGTTCAAGTAAATGATTCCTTTCATGGGAGCTTGATAAGGCTTCTGCCAAAAATGCAGTTATAGAGATTTTGGGGGCAAAATGATTTGAAAATTCAACAACTCTTGATAACTATTTTGATTTTAAAAAAAAAAAACAAAACAGTATAGCTCTGGAAATGTGGAAGTTCTGATTAGGCAATTCCCAAAATAAAATTTCAGCTTTCAATTGCAGAATATTTTCATTTAGAAATCAGAAAAAAAAAAAATCATCAAAAGTGCTTCATGTGACCTATACCAATGTTCCTATTTTCGGCTTTCTTTAGATTGCTTAGAAAACTGGAACCTCTATTTTCTATGACCAACTTAAAATGACAGTTTTCTTTCGTTCAGTTTTCTGAGCCGAACAGCAAATCAGTTACATGCAGAACCACTCACAATTTTTTTTCAGTAAAAATAAAACGATGCATTTGAACTGCATGATAGCACCAGAGTGGGATGGTGTGCCTGAATATCCAAAAATACCAAACTCAGCATTTAAGCGTCTATGTATGTTCATACTGGCACTGCTCTTCCTTCAGAAACACTGAAACCAGATGTCTGAAGACCTGCCAACTCAAAGCATTTGCTCCAAGAGAGAAAGTGTCGCTCCCCCAGTTCTCATCGGTGCTTCTCTTGGTGGCAACACATCATTCACAACATGGGAAGTATTGAACTAATGCAACGCAAAGCCACCCTAAGAATACAGAGCAGTTGCAGTAAAGGGACTTCCAGGCAAGCTTTGTGCAGTAACAACTGGTGCTGCTTCCCACCAAAGCACTGACCAACAAATCCTTGGGAGATTTCTTACGATTTCTCCTTCAGAAGAAAACTAAACAGAAAGCACAAAGCCACACAAAATTGACTTCTTCATATCAATATAACAACCCTCCCCCTCCTATAATCCATGTGAGCCCATAATGGTAAGCAGCAACCATGCATAGCAGTGAAGAGATTTCATCCGGAGCATCAGGAAAGTACGTGATCCTTCTAGTAGAGCCCAGGAGGTTCTGCATCAGTGACAGTGAATACCACAGATACCTCTTCCTGTACTTGAGTGTCCATTCATTGTGATGTGGGTTGTGTCTTTGTGTTCTGGATGGGAATTGTGTGCTGGTATGCCAACAACAGGAGCAAAGTGTTTCTTGATTGCTGGAGCTCCTCAGGCCTGGAAGCCAAAAGCTGATGCTCTCTCTCTGAGCAGCTCCCGGCACAAATGACAACTCCAGCTCCCTGCAAATGAAGAAATCTTTCTTATGACACCAAAGCCAGATACTCAGACTTCAGGCCAACATGGCCTTGAATAGGATATCAGCTATTTCTGATATTGGGATTGCCTGCATGTGCCTGGAGCCGGCTTTGTTGCCCTTGATGGCATGCATGAGGGCTGTCTACACAAGTTACAACACAGCTGGGATGTGCATTTCTGATTATAGGTATTTCATATTTTGACACATCCAATACACTACCTCCCAGTCAAACAGCAGCCTTTACCTAATTATTACCACCATTTCAAAATTCTCCACTCCTTAGCCTCCTATTTCTCAAAGTTACAAATATTTAGCTGCTGCAGGTAAGATTTACTGTAATTATTCTTGTCTCACCCCTCATGTAAACTACAGCCATTGCACTCAGATGTCTCCTTCTCCAGTTCTACTGCTCTCTGCAGATTTAAGTTAGAGAATCAGTAATGTTAAGGGACTAATCCTTCTGCTCCAAAACCAAGTGGCAAACTATAACCAGTAGTTGTAAATTCAGACTGAATCCTCATCAGAGGACAAAACTGCACACTGAACGTGATATAGACCTTAAAATTCTTGTCCTTCCAAGACAGAGACAGGTCAGAGAATGAAGATTTTTCTCCTAATCCAGTCTCCTGACAACACTCAGCTATTCCAGAAAGGACTTCCTCATCTGGCTCTTTCTCTCTGGGATCTTGACTTCTTTGGAAGTCTAAAGTCACTGTTCATAGGAGCTTAACCCAGCTGCCTGAACTGAGGTGTCCAGTGCCATCTGGGGCATCCAAAGGCACCCACAACCTGCAGAAGAGCCGCGTTTGGGAAGAGGAAGGAGAGATCAGACAAGATTGCAGAGGACATCTCAGATCACACCAGCCCTCAAAGTCTACTCATTTGCTTTCTTCCCAGCACTGCTTGCTTCTCCTTTGCTACTGCTTCCTTAACCCTGCACGATCCTGGCCAACTTTCTGAACCTCTTTTCCACAAGGACTTCATTGTGATTTTCAAAGCAGACTTCTGACATATGTTACCTTCGGGGGGCTCAAAGACTGGTGGATTCAAGCAATACATGTGATAGCCACGGTCACAGTCATCACAGAAGAGCAGCTGGTCCTGAGGCAGGGTTGTCGGAGAAACAGAGGGGAAAAGGGAGAGAAGGAGAGGAGAAGAGAGAGAGAAAATGATGTAAATTAGTCTCTTGCCAAGCTGAAGACATAAGCATGGTAACCAGCAGTGCTCAGCTAGGAACACAGAGCTGCAACACAGAGACTAAGAGACTGTGGGGTAGGTAAAAGCTACCATGTCTGTGGGCCCAAGACATCAAACATCATATTCCTGAGAGGCCACAAAGAGCCCTAACTCACCACAAAGGCAGATCCACTTTTAATTGGAAAACCTTCCTGAGGGCCAGAGGGCTTCCTCTCCAAGGCAGCCTCACAATGTAGGACCAAAGGCTGCTAGGTCAGTGATATTCTGCACTGAGAGAAGAGGACTGGCATCCCCACACTGTGGGGTTAGCACAGCCAAGCTCTGGATGCTATCCTTTCACACGAAACCTTTCTCATCAAAAGCTTGGACTTAGCCAGTTATCCAAAACTCAGTTGAGTACCAAATGCTTTGTGAAGTAGATGGGAATAATACAATCCTATCTCATGGCCTGCAGCTCTTTCACTCACACGGGGAGAAAAATGCTTCTCAGAAGTATCCTCTGACTCCTAACACAGAGTCCCTATTCTCAGATTTTCTCACCTTCCACTAAAGCAAAATGAACTCTCAGGCTTCACATTCATTTTGCTATATGGAATGTAGTCTAAACTACTGCTTCTAAAGTTCTTCAGCCACAGTCAGTTCTCCAAGTTTCTCACAGACTATCAAGGATTTTTAGCATCAGGATAAAAGAAAGAAAGAAAAAAAAAAAAAAAAAAAAAAGAAAAAAAAAACACAGAAAGGATACTGTTCAGCTGCAGACTCTGGATCATTTGGAAATCCCTGGAATTAGTACTTAGGTGTATAGATCCAAATGTTTCCATTCCCAAGTATTATAATTAAAATCTTAAAATTGAACCAAGAAAGTAAAATCAGAGACAGAAGAAAAATACCTGCCATCTCTGGGGTTATCACCCATTTAGATCTACTCCTGATTACAGTATTGGAGATACTACTCTTTGGCAGCTCCCTGCCACAATGCTAATTTCTATTGAATAAGCATATCAGCATCTCAGGTGGCCCTACGTAATACTCATGATAAGTTCATCAGAGATGAGCAGCTGAACAGGTCACTGGGAAGAGCCCAGCTCTGCTCCCAGGGGTGGGCCATCCTAGGATATGCATGGAAGCAGCAGAAAAGCCAGGACCCACACCACTGCCACATGCTTCTCAAGGCGGACATGACAGCAGCTTGCAGTGACGCTTATTGGCGTGAAAAGGTAAATCAACTCACATCGTTCTCAGAGGTGCCACAAAGGCTGCAGGATTTGCACTCAATGCACTGCCACTGATAGGTTTTAACAGCCTCAGTCATGTTTGTGGTGAACTGCAGGCAGGTCGGGTGTCCTGAGGAAGATTGGAAACAACGGTCATGGTTAAGGCTTGCTTACGTATTGTCAATTAACCGGCATTAATTTGGGAACAAAATGCACATGGACGTGGACTGATCACAACATGGGCTGCAACTAACAGATACCAAAGAGAAAAGCAGGCATTAACCCTTTCGCTGCCGGGCACGAGAGAAAATCAGAGTCATTCCCACCCAATCCCCACTGGCAAAGCAGTTTTATTCAGAGCTCTTAAAAATAGTTTGGCTTTGTCTTCATTTTTTTTGTTTTGATGTTTTGTGTTTTTTGGTTTGGTTTTTTGAAAGAAAGGAAGAGAGAGGATGAAATCAGAAACAAACCCAATTTCAGAAAGAGCCCATCCATCTCAACAGAAATTGGACTACGGTTTCAATTACCTTTGTTTCAACTGGACTGAAGGACCTAGTGGAAATGAGATTATTCTCCATTTCAGAGCTTCCCTTCCTGGTGTCCAAATGGGTGGAGCAGTTCTGTAAACGTGGCTTAATTGGAAGCAGTAGCATACAGAGAAGAAGTAAGACAAGATGGAGGGATACAGCTTTCAAGTTTTTTAAGAGCTCTGCCACTAAAGTTGATTGGCACAGAAGAAACCAAATTGCATGGCTAACCTTCCAGGATCAAAACAAGAAACCAAAAGGAAAACACCCCAAGCCAACTCCCACAGTGAACTAAATGAAAGGAATAAAGAAGGGAAAGCTAGCAGAACAGTCACATCTAGAGAGGAAGGACAAACCGCCAGAGTCACAACCCCCGCCCCTACATGCGTGTGGACTCCAGCTTTGCAAAACAGCAGTATCACAGTAGCAGGGTCAGCAATGGGCTGTCTGGAGGGGAAAACACAAGCAAACAAACAAACCAAAGGTAGGATCAGTGTTCCTTCTGCAAAACAAAACAAGAAAAATATGCTACTGAAATAAAGCACAGCACTCCCAAACCACCCCTATCCAGGTGAAGCGGTCTCTAAGTCACCTGCAATAAGCTGTTGCTTGCCTGTTTGGAAATCCCTGCATTTAGTATCTCTCTCTGGCACATATAAGCACGTGCAATGTGCAGAATCAGCAGCAGGGAAAATGGGACAAGGCTCTCCAATTGCTCATCCACAGGCAGAGAAAGCCTAGAAATACAGGTCCCACATCTGGCACTACCGCATGCTTCTTGTAGAAACTTACGCCATTGAGTGTACAGGCGTTTTTCACCACTAGCAGATCCGTTGTTCCTAGACAACAGCCAATAGGCAGAAAAAATCTTTTCCACCTCCATGAGCTTGAGTGTCTCTTTTTAAGAGTGGAGAAAAAAAGAGCTGTTTCTCTGATAAGAAGAAAAGGAAGGCATGGCTAGTGGAGATGTGCACACTGACGCGCTGTCTTCATTACCAGATCTATCAGTGGTATTTTGTCATGCCGTCACATTGCCCACAAGAATAAACACCATCTACATTTTCTAGTTAGCAAAGCAAACACTTGCATTACTTAACTGTAATGCATGAGAAATATATTTCTTTTATGTGCCCAAGCTGTCACAAAATGGTGGAATAAGGATTCTGGTTCTCCAGCTCCATTCACATGGCAGAGATACAACCACTAAGCTCGTTCAGCAATGAAATGTGTGTACGTAAGTTATGAGTTGAACATAAAGCAAAGGAGATATGTTCATACCATTCTTCTAAGCTTTTGAACAAAGAAGTGTGTACTGACGAGTTAAGAAGATTGCTACCTTTTGGGTGCCTTGAGATGTCAGCAAAAAAACGAGTCACATTTTACTGAGATTTACATAGGACCGAGTCCAAACTGAAATTCTGGGGACCCTGCAGTCACAACTGTCCAGAAAGAGATCCTGTGACATGATCTTTTTCTTGCTGAGGGGACCTTGTATAATACTAACAAAACCCAACGTAACACTGAAATAATCCTCCAGATCTGATTTACAGCAAATGCAGAACCTCATTTCAGCGCCACTGAAGAGAACAAATGGGTCACACTACACAGCAGGGAGGAATTCATCCCAATGGCAGCAAGTCTGCATCAAGAAAGGTTGTGCAGTGCTGGAGTATATCAAAGAAAACAACTCATACGGGGTGTGAATTAATCAGAGAGTTAAATAGCTTCAGTCACATTTGAAAAGAAACAGAAAGAATGGAATCAAACCTACAGAAATAAATCAAAGTTAATTGCATACATGCATTTACGTGCTCACTTGCCTGCGTGCACACACTGCTCATTGCAGACTATAGCCAGAGACTCCCTTTCCCAAATGAAGGTCAGTTTCTGTTCACTGCTTTATTTTTGTCCCTTCACACTCATTCCTGTTCTCTTCCAGCTATCCATCTTGACTGTTTAGTTCCTCACTCTCCTCAGAAATACCTCTGCAGGTTTCCTGTGCTGTGTCTGCTATCAACCGTGCCTCGTCCTTGAAGTGATCCATCCTATTTTGTAGAGTCTTTCTTAAGCACCGCACTCATCAAAGACTAAAAGAATGGGACTTCTGTGGGCTGAAGATCTCTTAAAACACATTAATAGTAGAGTAAGGGCTGCTGTGACAACTTTTTAATAGCAAAGAAAGAATCTTTTGCAAAAAAACATCGACTCATTTACACTTTGGCCTCTCTCTCCAAATGTTGTGATGATGAAGGAGTCCAACAAATGCCCACAGTGACATCTGCACAGCCATAGTCTACTCTCAAGATATGCCTGAGGCAGAAAGAAAGCCTCATGGACATCTCTTTCTGTCTCCAAGTCATATTCTCTATCACATTAAATAACATGCCTTGTAGTTCCATGACCCAAACTTAATGTTGTTGGAAAGACTATTTTGAATTATGCCAGTAGCTCAGTGAGGCACTACAGCATATGGTAAGCATGCCAGTGGACACTTAAAACGTGAAAATATTTTTCCCTGCTCTGTCTTCATCTCAATCTCTGTGTTTTCCAGTTACTTTGGTTCAAAACCCAGTGTTTTTCATAACCCAAGAGGAAATTCACACACTCAAGACTTCTTGGCATTGCATTAGTAAACACCATCCCTGTTTCACACCTTGGCATTTCCTCCACAGAAAATATAAGAGGAGGAAGCCCTGAAGCTGCATACAGCAGGTTACTGTTGATAGATCCAAATCCATTTAAAAAATACAAAGGTTGATTCAGCTCATGAACAATTTTCCTTTACACAAAGAGCATTTAAAACTGCAGTTCCATAGTAACAGATACTATGGGAGTGCATGAACCAGAGAGTAGGAAAGATTTTCTTGCTTAATTTCATCAGTTATGTGGTCAGGATGAAGAAATACTTCTATTTCGCTAATCTTGTGATAAACTGCATTCCCTATGGTTAAGGTGTGCAGCAGTCTGCAGTGGGAACTCGGTTATAATTCAGGCAGCGCCTCAGCCCGGGAGAAGTCCCGATCACTCTCACATGTCTGTATCAGCTCCACACATCTAACAGAAGAAGTAACACATATTTATGGTGCCACTGAAGTCAATAGACAGACCTCTAAAATATACCCAGGGAGCAGTTCTCTTGAAGGAGAAGGCAATATGTTAACATCGACAGTTTCTAATCTACCATAACTATTCTCTACCTAAACTTTTGCTATGCCGCAATAGCTATAAACAACAGAGACAATAAAATTTGCAGTGAGCGGGTCTCCAACAGCTCATCCCTTTGTCTTAGAGCAATATTTTAAAGTATAGATCAGCCCTGAATGCTCTCCCATCTATGTCAAAACTCTCATCTGGATCTGAACTCTGCGACCAAGACCATATTTTACCATGACATACGCGTTTCACATGCCGCTGGCTTTAATTGTATACTATGTCCATTGAACACCTGAACTGAGGAATGGGGGGTGAAAGCATTTCAGCAACCATCTCATGACTCCCGCACTCGGTACAATTGCAGGCTGGTGGTAAGGAGAATTTAAATGGAAGCACCCTTAAAAAAATCAAATATTCTCTTCTGCTTACGCTGCCTGTGCAACACTAAAGACCAAAACTGACATTAAAGGGCAGCAGCAATCTGCTGCTCCCAGGCGCTCTGTGACCAGCCAAGGCCTGCAAACGGCTCATTAGTGCTTCTTCAATAATGGATTTTGCATCACAAGATTAATTGCAGCCATGTGCTCTGTCACACCCGCCACAGACTATTTAAGTTAACAATCCAATCAATAACCTTTCTCAAACAAAGGCAGAGATTATCTTGAGGAAAAAAATAAGCCAAGACTCCTATAAAAAAAATGTGAAATTATTTGTATGGAGCAAAAGGTATTTCCGCCCAGTTCCCAATTCTGTCCTTTATCTTTGCTGTGTAGTTGTGGGCTTTTTAATCAATAGTATAATGAAAACCCACAGGGCTCCTAGCTACAGCATGTCAGAATTTATTCCATGAACTATTCGAGTCTTTAAACAGCCATAAATACATATTATAGATATAGTGACACAGAAAGCCCATCCAAACATGCACAAAAGCTGCAAGAACTCCTCTTACTAAGACTGAATAAGCATTGCTATGACCTTTACCTTCATTAGAGAGAATTATTACTGTTATTTGTAAAAAAAAAAAAAAGAAGGGAAAAGAAACTTGTAATTCTAATAAAGGATATGTTTTTATGCTTATGATATAAAACGGTAGCCTTCCTTTGTCCATCTACAAGTGCAGTTTAGCATGCTTACATTCAAAAGCTGCCAGACAAGTTTACCTATCAGTGAATTATTAAAAGTATTTTTTGTTTGCCTTTTAATTCCTGAACCGTTTTAGGATTCCACCTTGAAAGGTCCCCAAGCAAACAAAAAAAAGCAAACCCTCCAGCCAAACCAAAAGGCTGCCAGAATCCCAGGGCTCCAGGAGATGCAGTGCTAAGGAATAAACCAAACATTTCTAAGGAAGGATGACATGGAGCTCATGGGGTTTTCCTGGCCCTTCCCATCTGGCAACACCAAGGAGCTGTGGTGTAGAGACATATGCCAGCTTGCATGGTACAGCTCTCCC